TGAAATTTGTGAACCGATTGTGTTCAGCTGTCCCCAGTTTCCGCAGCAACAGTCGAACTTTCCATGCATCATCAAACTGAGCAAAGTCGGTTTGAAACATGTCTTCATATTTCTTGAACCAACTTTCGAAAGTTCGTCCAGATTCAGCATCAAAATTGAATTCGGTAATTGAGCTGGCAGCAGCATCTGCGGAAGAAGACGGAGGCTCACCCTTTTTTATCGCATTCACCGACATACTGCGCATCAGAGATTCAACAAGCCTCAGTTGTGCTTCTTCGAACTGCTTCTGTTGTTGCTGTAAAATTAATTGGAGTTGCTCTGCCGAAATTGACATCGTGGGTTCGGGTTGTCGCCAGTTGTTATATCTTGCTGGACGGTAGTGCAACTCTGTGTCGGTCCCTTGGCTTCCTGCTCCACCCACTATGGTATAGCAAAAGGCACGGTAGCTGTACACAGCCCTTTATGGAGACAAAGGAAAATCATTACAACTGTATATATATAGGGTAGTCGCAGAGTGTTCCACAAGGTCGTGCCAGAATGTCCGTGAGGGGGCGAGAACCGTCGAGTCAAGGTGCTTGACTCGGATTGGCTGGCATTCTGACCAATCAGGGCATGCCTACGTCTGGCCCGTGTCCTGCACGTGACACATGCATCCAACTGATGTGATGTTCGGTTATTAGGGACGGCTGGCGAACGAACAGAATCAGAGCAGCGATTTGCCCCGCATAATTCAGAATACGAAAATTGAAATCAGTCAGATAGACCTGGCGTTGAGGAGGATTGATTTATTAGGGACGGCTGGCCCCCGAACAGAATCAGAGCAGCGATTTGCCCCGCATAATTCAGAATACGAAAATTGAAATCAGTCAGATAGACCTGGCGTTGAGGCCTGAGGATTGATTTCAAGATGCCTGAGGTTGTCGGCGCCGATGGACCCCCAGATGTCGCGTCCAAGACCGATGCAAGTCGATTCGGGTCATCAGTCCTAATGGATCATAGTATAAAGACAGTTTTATTAACTGGGGGGGGCAGACGGATATGACTTGTGTATAAAATGAAAGAGAAGCGTCAGCAGTAGCCCATTTTCGCTTATCCGCCCTGCTGTATGCAGCAAGTAAGGCGACCCTGTTGAAGGGACTATGTGACGTTTGATGGGACACTAGACTGTTTTTGCTTGTAAGAATCGTGTACGCAGGATTAGATACTCTCAGACAGGAAGATGGTTAATTTCCCCAACCGAATCCTTCGGCTCAAAAGCCTGACCACAGGGCAGCTCCATTTGGCGGGAAATGCCAATACGTTTCATCTTTTCAAATAACAAATCGCCATCCATGTCCAACTCCAGACCTGGAGGACCAGAAACCGATGTTAGCCAAACTTCTAGCCATTGAACAACTGGATATGAGAGACTACAAGTGTTTCATGGACGCCCTTCGCCATATAACTCAATGGGTCACGGATGTACACAAACCGTTACAACATAGTAAGGTTCGTAGTAAGGCTCGTAGCAGTTACTACCTAGCCATCGTCTTTACAGTCTACCATAGTTTCCGTTGAAGAACACGCATCAATTGAAGTGAATGCTATTAGTTGCACGATGAAAACTTCGAGAATTCAAAGGGGACTTTCAGGTCCTCAGTGTCGTCGGTATTCCGTCTAGGGGAACTGGCACTAGTCTGATTCAAACAAATGGCGGACAAAGCAGTCGTTTGCGATCTGTATGATAGCTTCGCGCTAATCTTGCATCACACTAAGAGCCCGTCTTGCTGGATGAATAGTCTTCATCCGAAGAATATCTGAGCTAAATGTGCGGTCATTGCGCGTCAGATGTTTGTGAACCACACGCTTCATGACGCCGGGCTTCTTGATTAGATTTCCAATTCAAAAGTTTCAGCCATTGTCTCGAACAAGATCAAAACAGAGGTGGGCTTTCCAATCTTGTAAAGTCCCACGGCGTCACATCGGAATGACATTTTTCAAAAAAAATGTAGCTGCGTGAAGATCGAGTGGACTTACTGACTAATACTGATTCGTGTGACACTTAACTAATGTATCTGATACCTGAAAATCGCCAGATTTTCCCCAATTACAGTTTTCTATAGGGGTATAACCGGTGAATTTTCCTGTTTAAATACGTTTTCGCTGTACTGAGAAAGCCTTCACCGTTTGCATTGCGTCGGATGCCTACACGAGGGTCCTCCAGCTATTCACAGTAACAGACGTACAGAGGACTGAATGAGTTTTATGGCCGTCTCCCTGGGATCATGAGTGACGGTTTACGCTTATCTCCAGAACCGAATCCATTGGTGTATTTTGATCACAATTCAAACAATATGCAGCTATCCATCTGCCACTGCTCAGTGGGCTTGATCCGAAACAGGATCTCAGATTTTACCCCGTTGTTAAAGACATGTCGTTCGATTTTTGTTTGCTCTTGTGCAGGCTTGGACAACCTGACGGTGGCATCGCGCTCGTGCTTCTTTTCGGTTGCAGGACAGGTTTGCACCGAAAGGGTGGCGTGGCTGCATGCTCTCACTCCTACTTTGGAGATGCTGAACATTCAGGTTGTCTTGTTGCCTTAACTCAGTCGCTGCTCCATAAATTCACTTTACTATTTCACTCAGTAGCTTTTTTGAGGACGTCCGTTTTCGCCATCCAAAGAAATTAATGTTTGCAAAGTGTATTTACTCGCCGCCTATGTGTTTCTCTTTGAACTCGTACCGCGTAGGCTGCACTTGGTAGTTCACTAGCCGATCAGCTTGAGCAATTGACGGTCAAACGGAACTTGACTGCCAGACAGGTGAAGAAACTTCTACGAGCCGTACTCACAAACGAAGACGTAGTTTCTGTGTTTCGACGCTACATCAATCTGAATGAACCAGAAACGGGTGAATTGTCGGCACGTACGAAACGTCGCGTCAAGAACCTAGGAATTCTTCGAGGATCGAGCAACTCTCAGTCCAATGCGCTGTTCGCTGACCAACTGCTTGAGCCTAGAGTTGTCACACGGTAAGATTTGGGTGATTTCAGATATTATATATATATATATATATAAAGTAGGTATTCCCGACGTAATCCCATTTTACAGGGTTGGTGCACTGAGAGTTTGCCACTCTGAGGTTGAAAGGAACTTTTAATACTACAGTCAACCAGATGGTTCTGAAAGGGAATCGGTTAAATGGAGAGTTG